CCCTGTAGTCGATGCCTCCGCTTTCGACCTTGGTTCCGATTCCTCAAGGGAGGTCTCCGTCATGGAGTCTCTCGCCGACATTTGGGTGTAGAGTGGCCATCCCCGGCTGCGATCCTCGCAATCACTCCGTCCTGCGCGTTAATAGAATGCGATAGAGCATATTTCGGATCAAAAGTAAAAATAGCGAAATGTGGAGCGATATCACTTATGTGCTACCCGTTTGGTAGGATGCTGGGCGTCCCGGCCAATCCGTCCTCAATCGCTCCTTCTCAGTCCTGGCCGTCTTCTCTCTTCATCTATGATTCAATGAGACGACGCAAAATTTACAAGGTCGTAAAGAGATCGCCAATTATCCTGTAAAACTCGTGGTACGATAACGCACGAAAGAACGATAAATCAATGCAGAAAATTTGCAGGGCGCATAAACAAAACGAAACAAACGCGAATAGATGAAATAATGCTACGAGAGTGCGCAGATACATCTGCCTTCTAAAAAGTGGAAGGACGCCAGAGCGGCGCTATTCGGTCAAGTCTTACGACCCTTGTGACGGACAGAAAACGTCACGTCACAAGATATAACTTTCAAAAATATAAAAGTAAGTTAGTGTAAAAAATATATTTTGCAATTATCTTTCTCTAACAGTTATGCTAACATTTGACAAATTAGTTATTAATTATTTAGATATTATTTATTGACATATGTCATATTTGCAATTAAATTCACAAAAACAATTTTGTACTGATAATTCCGTACATTTAATTGTCAATAGGACATATTTTACGGCATATTAAATAAAGAAACATAGTTCATGTGACTTAAATTTGTTAATGAGACATGCACTTTATATTCAGACATTTTTAGTAATAAACCAAAAAAATAAAAATTCAAGAAAAGAAGAACTAAAAATTTCATAAATATATATTTATTGTGACGTAACATTTTCCGTCTGTCACAAGGGTCGCACGACCCGACCGAATAGTGCAGTCTGGCGTCCTGAGTCCTTCCACATTTTAGGGGGCGGACGCATCTGCGCTTTTTCGCGACGTTATTTGCGTGTCTCACGCGTTTCACGTTGCCGTTTTCGTTTCTTTTTTTGTGTATTTCTGTACCGAGAGTTATAGAAACTGGCGACTCCCATGATCTTGGCAGATTGACGCCGCCTCACCGGACCGTGAAGAGAGAAGAAGGAAGACGGCCAAGATTGGAAGTCGAGTAACGACCGCTGCTGACGGATTTACCGGGGCGCACGACATCTTGTCCCCCGGGTAGTACGCAGGTAATATCATTCATTATTTCGCCCTTTTTGTCGCAAGACACCTTTTATTGCATCATCTTCCAGGCACAAGGCGGAACGAGAATTGGAATGACAAGATAGGGGTGGCCACTCTATGCCCCAAGGACGGCGAGAGCCCCGAGAAGGCGCCTCGAGGCCGCAAGG